CTCTTACAGCACTTTACAGATCTGATAAGAAAGCCAAACAAAGAGAAAACAGTTGAGAGGACAGCCTCCATCCCAGTGAAATAGTCTGTGTCACCAGTAGGGAGAGACAGAGAGATGGGCGGTTTATAATCTCGTGGCCGGGGTTCGTTTTTTTTTTTTCTTCTTTTGAGTGGGACTGGATGGGAGGGAGCAGCAGCTTCAGTACCAGGCACTGCTCTCCCTCWGTACGGACTGGATAGACTGATAGAAAGAGGAGGAGGAGGAGGAGGCTCATACATGCTGCCGCCACCATTCCTGCTGCTGCTGCCTTTGTCGAACAGGGAGCTGCTTCGAGGCCACTTATAGCCAGTTGGATATTCTTTTTTTTTTTTTTTTTTTTTTTTTTTTTTTTTTTTTTTTTTTTTTTACGGAACCCGAAGCGGTGGATAACGGAGTGACGGACGTACCAATGTACTCGTTACACGAGAGCAGCGGACTGCTTGTGCTGCTGGTCTTTGCAGGACTGCAGGTAATTTCAGAGCTGACTTACACCGGACACTTTATTATTTTCATTTATTTATTTATTTCAATGAGCTGTTGCGATGCTCTTTGTTTGAGTTACGAACCGGGACGAGTTGGTAGCTCTCCACTAGGCACTTCGCTGGGTGTAGTTAGAAAAAAACACCATAAGTCGAGCACTAAATTGACGATAAAAGTCGCTGGAGTCGGGCAGCAATTACGAGCTAACTGTTCCCTTTTTTTTAATTGAACGCGCACGAGACGCTGGAACGAGCTGCATTTGAATGGATTACTTCAATTAAAAGAAGACATGGTTGTAAGCCTGATTTAGTAGTTCGCTGTCATGGAAGTTGAACGACGCAGGCCCAGATTAACCTGATTTGTTTTTGTCTTGGGTTTTATTTTTAGTTTAGTTTTATGGTTTGTGTAGGCTGCTGCATATGTTTGTGTTTTTTGTCTCGAGTTAATTGCCCTCACTGGTGGAAGTCATTATCGTAACTAGAGTGTAGTTTTCATACAGTTTATGTATAACCTAACCGACAATTATGTATAATATAGGGTGTGCACGTCTTTTTAAAATAATATATGAGAATATGTTGTGTAAATAAACGAGTAAATTGCATAAAAATGTGCTTATTCAAGGAGAGGCCAACTATCAGAGATAATTACTGATTTTTTTTTTTTTTTGTAACCAATTGAAAAAGTATCCAATAAGAGAGAGATGGAGAAAAAAAACTGAACAACCTGCTGCCTGTCTTGCAGGAGTCCAAACCCTCATCCTCCCATCATTTTGCAAGAATTTTCCATTTAAATTTCTCAGATTAGGAATGCCAACTGTCATGACTACCCACAATGCTCTTTTGCAGCAAGGTTATCTCCCTCTCTCTCTCTTTTCTTCTTTTGAGAGTGCATGCAAGCACATAAAGCCAGGACTGTGTTCCTGAAAGTTGGAATCAATCATGAGGTTGTGTGATGATGTACACTTGCACATCAGAGTACAACTGTGCTGTTTTTTTTTTTTTTTATGGGGGATATCATTTTGTGCTCTTCTTCGTTCTTTTCTGCYAAACAATGTTTTGTGCCAACTCTACATAAGCTTCAGTGGTTTTCATGGTTTTATTGTGTCTGTTTAGCAGCCACAACTTTTAGGTATTTTATAAAGACAGTTTGAGCAGATTTTTTTTTTTAAAGCCAAACAAAAAAAAAGACAAAGACGGAGGGTATTGATCAGTTCTTATCTGGCAGTCTCTTGGAAATAACATTTAAAAAAAGTGAATAGTTTTCCAGTGTTTATTCAGACATTCGCACATAGATGTGTATTCACCACTCAGTGGGGTTTTAAGCATTTGCTTTTTATTCTCTTGTTCCTGCACTTCAAAGTGAATGGTGTTTGTCCAGAGTGGTGTGTTGATCAGAGGGGGTTGGCAGAGAGTACCCTGTGCCTGGGCCCCTACCCTGGGACAAATGGGGCTTGTTCTTGCCTGGCCGTGCTTTTTGGCTAATGCTTAACCCTTTTGGCCTCATTATCCTAATTGCGGCCCCTGCTATAAAAACAACAGATGCTTTTGTACAACTGTGGGGACCTCRGAATGTGACCGAGAGAGTTAGGAGACATCGCAGTGCATTTTTGAAAAAAAAAAAAAAACAGTTGATTTATGACTTGTTTTTAACCCCCCCACACACACACCCAGATCACCATTTTCCTGCATTACAGATTGCAGCAGAGGCCAGGGGTGCCCCACCATGCAAGCCAGGCTTCACTGAAGATCTATACACTGTCGTGGTGCCAGATATCGCAGAGAAAGGATGGCCTCTTTTCAACTGTGAGTGTTGAAAATATTCCTTGTCTTGTTTTTATTCTGGGTGTTATGTCTGCGTTTYGAGTGTGGATACGTGTTGGCATGCTCATGAGCTGAGTGTGCACCCCCCCCTCCTCCGTGTGTTACATTTCAGGGGGAGGATCTGAACAAGGCTGACATATTTAAACAATTAGCTTCGGTGCAGTTGTGCGGTATTGCAAGTCATGTTTTTTTGCCTTGTAAACCAGCTCAAATGGGGTCCAACGTTGTTCTGCTCTGGTCCGTTTTGCTTACTTTCAGTTTTTCCTTCACGGCAGGCTTGCAGCAAGGTAGATTAAGTTTTAGATATATTGTGTTGGCTTCATTTTTTGCCTTCATTAGCATTTGTCGTTAAATGTTAACATTTTTTTCTTGTTTTTTTTAATGGAGGAAAACTTTCTACTGCTCTGAGGATGTTCATCACATTACAATGAATACAAAAATCAATTAAAAACAGATTTGAATACTTATGCAACTTTAATTGAGCAAGTAATTAAGTTATTCAACATTTCATAGTTTTTCATTATCTAATGCCATTATTATGCAATTGTGTTTTCATTTTCCAGTATATTTTCCATGTAGCTTTTAAATTAGCATAAATAATTCTACATTGTATAAGARGTTTTCCTGAAATCTTGCAGTTCACACTTATGTACGTCCACACTGGTTGAATAGCTTGTTGCAGTAATCCTGTKGGAAACCCAGCTTTAATATGCATGTCTGTTTTGACCATAAACATGATGTAAACAGGAAATAAAAATAAAAAAAATTATATGTTTGGATTAGTCATTTATATTGCGGCAGGTTTGACCACGATGCTTCGTTAGTTTAATGTTGGCAAATAAGAATGCAGCCACCGTGAAATGGCACACAAGTCCACAGACAGTAATAAAAACTGGAATATATCACCTGTGTGTCATTAGAGAGGGTTGGAGCCTTGAGGTCATTTGGGCCAGAAAGCCCTTCTCACTTGTGTTGGATTTCTCAGTGTGTGCCTAAAACTTGCACGCTGCTGCTGTTGTTGGTGTGAGTCAGAGWGGTGGAAGGGGGAGGCGGCGACGACACCGAGAGAAAAGGGAGAAAGGGAAGAGAGTAGTTAGATGGGTGGGTACTGCTTTCACCGAGCTTCGCCTTGTGCACAAGTTTCTGTTTGATCCTGCAGGTGATGGATTTCCCTGCGCTGGCGTGTGGATGAGCCGTGACCAGGGGTAATCGGGTTCTCTTTTGTTTGCCCCACCGCCACCCACCYCTACCTCCTCTCTTGTCTTTGCCTTCCCTTCCCCCCCAGCGAGTTGTTGCTACGAGATTTCCTTGACGGAGAGGGGCACTCCTGTGTCATTGTAATGCAGCGGGGCACAGCAGCGTGGGATGGTGTTAATGAAACTCCATTCTCTAATGAGAATCTCCTATGGCGTGTTTTGAAAGACAAAGCCCCCATAGTGTGGAAAGTGTTTTCAAAGTTTTTTTTTTATTTTTTGCTTTGTTTTTGACCAGTTGATAGAGCCTACTCCCAGTGTTGCTTCTTTAGCACTATTTTAGTATGTGTGTCTTGAAAGGTCTAAAAAAATTGAGCAAGAATATTAAACAACACTCAGTATTTTACAATAGCTTGAGCCTGTATTTTGCTATAAATAACACTCGGCTGATTTCAGTAGGCACAGATGTCTGCTCGCTTTATTGATGAGTGGTCATCACTTGTCTTTTGGTTCAGCTGGCTTATTTGAAATAGGATCTGCTTGAGTGTCTGTGTAATACTATCAGAAGAGTGTACAAGACGTCAGTAATATGACTCTATATTGCATTTGAACCCAGATATACATTGGACACTGCATGGGTGAGCTGTTATATATTGTTCTCCCTTCTAATTACATCATTGTCTATCTTGTTGATTAGGAGAATACACATCCTGGGGCCTATGTGGAAATGTCTGCTGTTGTCATGTAAACAGTAGACATTGTATGTGCTAACGTGATGACGTCCTGCGGTTTTGATAATGGTTATTGTGGCCAGCCAGTTAGGAGTTAATCGCGTTCTGTTGGCATTAACTAAACTTTAACATTTGAATGGCCAAATGACTCCTGATTGGCTTTCAATAGATGAAAGAGAAAAACAAGTCAAAGAGCAACACAGCGAAAGGCCTGATAGGACATTGCTTGTGCTACGAAAACTTGTCTCCAGTGATCCATTAAAAAGAGGCTGAGCTCATTGTTAGTAAATGCAAAATCACATCAGGCTTGAGAGGAATACCCTCCAAAGCTGCCCTGACCTTGCTTTTACGCCTGGAATATTTGCTCTGCTCTGATATACGGTGACGAGAAATGACCAAACACGGTTACCTGTTCCTATAAACACAATAAAAGCTAAAGGCTTTTATCTGTGCAGGATTCCCTCTTATCTTGTTTAGTTGTTTTGATGAAGTGACTTGTTTTACTAGATTTCATTTAATTTGAGGGATGCTGTGGCTGCGGGTGGTTTGCCCCTGGGTATCTAATACAATTCTGGTGACTTTGGAGAGCTGACACACATTATGACATTTTTTTTTTCTTGATGAAGCAGAGCAGCAAAAGCAAGTCAGTCTGAGCATTATTCAGCAGAGGTTTCCCCTCCCTAAAACTAGGTTAATGAAAAGCCCAAAAGCTTAATTGAACTTAATGGGTCCTCTTATTCTGCCATCTCTACCCATCATTTTCTATTCTGCTTCCATTTTACTTTCCTCCACCCCTCAACCCTGCCTTGTACTTTATTTTCCTGACAATTATGCAAGCTCTGGCGATGGAAAAAGAGGTACGCTTCTAGTCAGCTTTGGCCTTGGTTCAAGAGCTTTTAATGTGAAGGTGATGAGAGGGTCCAGTTAGTTGGCTTCACAAACCTTTGGGGAGCTGGGGGTGAGTCTGGGGTTTACAGTTGACCAGTTTAATTACGTCGTTGAAACAATTAGTGTCAACGTCAGTGGTGCGAACATCAACAAGGAACCTCTCTTGGGCTGAACATGTCTGATCATTTTCAGTTAATCTGTCATTAAGAATAATTATGTCCTTCTGCTGTGTTTGTGTAAGGTAAACCTTTTTAAACAAACCAAAACTCAACTTTATGACAACACAAACAGGCTTGTGAAATGTCAAAGTCTGCACTGACTTACGTTTTTGGGTTTTCTCTGGTCTGTTAGGAATCCAACGGTCCTGTTTAAAGCTGGAACCCCTTGTATGTGTTTTTAAGGGGGCCCCAGCATTTGGTAAGACATGACCCTGCTTAACCCTCCCGTGTAAACTGGGGCAAGTACTCTGCAACAACCTGGCCCTTTTTTTTCCTCTGGGCCCAGATTGGAAATGAAACTGGTGGGATTTTGGTGAGGTATGAATGAGAGACCAGTTCCAGAGGTCCCGACACGTCACCACGGAGGCCTCAAATGCACGACCTTATGTTACCCTATGTTATTGTGACCTTTAGGGGTGATCATAGATCATTTAGAGAAATAAACACAGGCAAAATCTGGAGGAAAAAAAAAACTCCCTAAAGATTTCAGGATTGTGCTCCAGTCAGGTTTATTAGTTTAGCCCTCAATGAGAACATTGAATAGTTCCTGTTTTGGTATTAGCTCAGGTCAAAAAGGAAAAGTCTCTGGAATCGAATGTCAGCTAAAGCATAAAAAAACAGACCTGCTGTCTTTTGTTTTTGAGGTGTAGGAGGTATGTTTTAATCTGTGTCATTGCTAAAAAAATCACAAACTGACTGGCTTTGTTTGATTTCTTTTTCAACTAGGTGCTTTTGAGATTTCAGGCCACACATTAAAAAGTTTAAGAGCAACATGAGATGTTTTTTGAAGTTTGTGCAGCTGCTGCATGTTTCAGATATACTGTGTATTTTTTTTTTTTTTGTCACCATGGGACCTCATAAGTAAACCTATGGTCATCCTTGTTTCCTTTTTTTTTTTTTTACAAGAGTTCATACTTAAACACTTTAATTGCTTATTTTTTGTCAAAGCCTCAGGCAGCAGTTAAGACTTGAAATTTGTTTTAAACTGCAGTTCATTTCCCCCATCCCCCACTTCTTTTTTTTTTTTCCCCTGAAAGTGGATCAATAAATTCAGGGTCTTTGTTTGCTAAGATCAATATGTTGTAATGAAGGCTGTGTTCCAATACTGAGCTAAGGCATCACCGGCACAGTGGGGTTGAATTTGGGTTAGTCTTTATTGTAACCAGCCTACATAAATTGGATTTTATTTTGCTGTCACTCTGCCTTTTTTTGTTCCCTTTGAACACATTGGCCTTCATAATCACCACATATTGTGACGRCAGATTGAATCTTGGCTTTACAGATTTTGGAAAGTAGCCTCATGCATGTTGCTTTTGTAACAGTTTAACAAAGTTAGTTGTGAAATAATRGTAGTGACACATAAAACCTAAATTTACTGGCTTTTGAAGCCTGTTTGACAAAACAAACAACTTTTTTTTGTATGTTTGACCTTCTTATCCGTTTTGAACTTAMAATTATTACTCTTGTGCTTGTGGAATGCCTAAATGTCAAGCTGGTGTTTTGTAGTGGCCATATATTAGCTTATACAGTCTCTCATCACCTCTGTTCATATCACTCTTATCAGCTGCAGGCTGTGCCCTCTACCTCTGGCACCGGACCATATACTAGTGACATTGGACGGTAGTTAACGTGTCCCTCTCTGATGCTTGAGTGTGTTTGTGTATGTGTGTGTAAGGTGTTTGTCCTTGGCATATAATTATCTTGGTCTGCCCATGGAGCTCTTGATGCTGTGAACAAATATTCTGGTGACAGAGATTTCCACGGCCATCTGCCTTTGTTAACTTTGGATTTGAGTGAAAATGACCACTCAGACCGTGCTATGTAATCTGACTGAGACACAAAAGGTGGTCATTTATCTAGTTGGGTGTAGCTGCATCAAAATTAAAATTTCTATAATGATCCGGAGGGCTAAATATATACAGTAGCTTTGAAAGTGCAGACTTTTTGTTGAA